CTTCGTTAAGTGGAACCTTGGCGTTAACTGCATTCTGCAGATACTCTGCCCATATCACTGGGAGTCGTGCGCTCTCTTGCTGGTGGCCGAGGAGCTCGAGTGCTATCTGGACCGCATGAGGCAAGCACGCATTGTCTTCCCCGTCAGCGATCGCGCTGAAGGCTCTCGCGTTTCTGCTGATGTACGCTTGGTACGGCAGCTCACAGTTCGGGTACCGAAGTAGGTACGCGTCAAGCGTCTCGAAGAGATTCGCATTTGCCGTTTCGACTGGCTGGTGTCGGGGAAGCCATATCGGGTCCGAGTCGTCAATCCATGTCACGCGATACTCTAGCCCAGTCGCCACGGTCCTTCGGTTGTCAATGCAATCAATTTCTCCAACCTCAGTGTGTTATCAGGATTCATGTAACTCTGTTACAAATAAAAAAAAATGTGCAAAAAAGTAGCATATATTCATCTTAACCAGTACTGAATGTATTCATTTATGTGATGTATTCATTTATTTAATGTATTCATTTAGTAAGCTCAGTGACGAGATTATATGTGATGCATGATGCCCACATGCTCCACGGACCTCTCCGCTGTGGTGTCCCATCGTCCTCAGCAGTACGATAATTTTGTTACCTCTGAGCTTCCGCCCAAAGCTGTAATGTATATGTGCATCATTATACCACACCTACCCCATTACCGTTACAAGTTTTGATTAAAGCTGCAGCATTTCTTAAAATCCAGCCTCAAATACTGACATTATCATTGTTCTTCAGCACTCTCATTTGCTGAGAATCCTTATTGTAAAAGAAGACGTGAAGACAAGACTAGCAAGTTCGACGTACTATAGATGCATTTTTTATGTCATTCCATTATATAAAAATACGGGTGGCATTGTATATTTCTATCGACGTAAAAGTACGAGTTGATCTGTTAAAATCATTGGTAAAAGAAGCGAAGATGAGATACGTGGTATCGAATTTTTGTATCTGTTTTGAATGATGCAGAACAAGATAGCGGATGGGGGTAATAGACTTATCGCTACAGCTACTATTTCTGCAAAAAATATATGAGAATTCCCCAACTACAGCTTCAAACGATTGTCCATTCCTTACCACCACTTGTTTGAAAACACTTACCAAAAATGATGTTTCAGCAGAGTACCACACTAGCTGGCTGGGTGCTTCGCCCTTTCACATGACGCACAAATCACGGCACGTGGTCAGCCTGCGAGTTGAGATATCGAATATAAAACTTTTGCGGATGGCAATTAGCATACACTGTCTCATTTGTCAGCGAATTTCAGGTTTTCTCATTTACATAGCCTAGATGGAATTCATCATTGATTGGAAATCAAGCCAACAGCAGCCAAGCTACTCCATGATCTGTCTAGTGCAAATATTTCTATCCTGATAGTTGTGGCCTTTCTGCTATCTTTCAAAGTCCATATAATCATATGTTTCTAGCTGTATAAAAAGACTGATAAAATATGTCATTTTTGAAATCTATGCGTACGCAGTACCTGAGAAGACATTGATAGATATAACCATTGCATAAGCGTCATCCCACCATTAAACCGGCCTTGGTGATAATACCAGAGAGTTTTTCGTTGCACTGACAAACTTGCATAAAAAGCATTGGGCGATCAAACTGACGTCACAGCTGTCCCGATGTTATGTGGGAACCGCTATGCATTAATGGCCGGTGCGGCCATCTCGAATAAAGGCGTTCATACAAAGAAACTCGACGCCTTGTTAGCCTGTGTATGGTACGGCAGATATTTTCTCCCTGTCTTATAATCAGCACTACACACAAACCTTATATTCTCATCTGTTTGGTCCTTGAATACTCGTCATCTCAATAATAAAGCGCGGCTGGTCGTTTCACGCCCAACCGCGTCCCGTTTCATCAAAGTTGAAGAGCTTTCAGGACCTTCGGTGAAGGAATGGGCTGCATCCTGACCAAAGTCTGTCAAGATGAAGGTGTTATCGCCTTTTGACTCGGTCCCCGGCTCATATCTTCCGTTCTTATCTTCTTTTTCTTGTGGTCACCTAGATCCGCTCATGCTTGGAGATCCAGATTTGTACAATTGTGAGCAGAATGAGATCACAACGCTGCCATCCAGCCGCGTGCTATCTCTAGACTCCAGTGGCGTCTCAGAACGGCATCAGGTGACGCCCGTATACAAAACGACTGAGTTAGGATCAGACACAGACTCTCTGAGTCTGCTCGTATATGGGGGAGGTGTCCCAGGCGTAGCTCTAGAAACCGACGGCGCGGATTCGCCCGAGCTCACAGGCACTCGAGATGGAGGCTACAAGTCCCGCAACGGACGATTGCAGTGGGGTACACGCTGCAGAGCAGGCAATGAC